TTCGTCAACGAAATAAAATAAGAGGACATTACTGTCAAATGTTGCATACCTAGGAGGCAATAGTAAGCTCACTGAGGTAAGTACTTCTTATTATGCCAATAAGTATCTCTACAATTGTCATAATTATACTTAAATTAGTATATTATAAATTTATCTATCTCGATATTCGTATATACAGACTTTACAATAAATTTCGCCAACAATAAGCAAATATCGTTTTTCATTATTTACCGCATGAACAAGACCACTAAACACTTTTTCCTCGGTTTATAAAGACGTATTACACAGATCTGTATTCGTGAATAAGATATTTAATGTAAGATTATGTATAGTTTCGTTACGCTTCCGTGAATCTGTAATTTTCATGTATTATCTAATTTTTTCGTGTATATCTAATTTTGTACAAATGAAACTTCGAGGCCAAGAGAACCTACTGCCTTTGATTCACTGAAATACATAAATAGTCGCTCTTGTTTATTGTTAACGAAGCTAATTGTCAATACATTTTACAATGCACAACTGTAACAACAGGTATGCGTGTTCACGATTCTCCCTCGTAATTTGTATTTACAATCTAGAATCTAGATGTTGATAATTGCATATCCTCATGCATAGAACAAGTAATACAAGAAATGACATATTGGCTTTGCAGTTACTATAGTATTTACACAAGCAATTTATCAATGATTTAAACGAGAATTAAATTATACGTTATGATTCTCTAACAAGTTGTTCATTTAAAATATATAGGATGTACCAAAAATTGGGGACAAAACCTGTATTATGAGCCAAATAGATAAAGAAAGTAATGTAAACTTACTTACGTTCGGAAATGCTACGTTGAAATGTTTATGAGTGAGATTGCAGATTTTTGTACATTTATAGAAAATTTTAATAGGCAAATTGGCAAAGAATGCACATAAATTGAAAATATATATAAAATACAGTGCTTTTTATAACGCTTAGAACAATTTTCTAGCAAATTTCCATTTCCAAGTGTTCGAAATTTCTTTCTTCTGCAAGAATGCAAGTTTTCATCTGTCGAATATTCTTGACTTCTCTATACAAATGTAAATAATAGAAAATACATCTTGATCTCCTGTTTCTATTGCATTTTTACAAACCATCTGTTTCTCGTAACCTCATAAATAAAAGTCCATTGGACTTGGATCTGACGATCTCGGAAATGAACTAATGGCCCGTGTTGTCAATGGTCAAAAATCATTTTGCAAAAATGTTACATACGATGCAGCTGTTAGTGACACCTTATAAGAATATTAATTCATCACTTATGACCTTCGTAACAAGTCTTAACACGTTCAATTCTTTTTTGTTTGTAATTCTATTTCAAAATGGTCATTATTTAATGATTGATATTTAATCATCATTAGTTAAAATTGAAATTATTAACTTAATCAAAAATCTCGATATACCATCTCGCATGGAACGTGTTAAGACAAATATCTCAAAATCTTTGAACGCTTATAATTTTACAATAAAGCATTTTTGGACATAATTTTTTTATCTACTTGATTTCAATAGCATACAGTGTGAGTTTTGTCCTCGTTTTTGGAACATCCCACATATGAATTCAATTATATGAATTCAACTGAAAAATAAATTATTCTTCAAAATATATTTGTACAAGTAATCTCTAGTCGTCCTATGCACGATCGTAGATGATTTTTCAATATATACAAATTGTAGTTTCAATCAGTACAGATTCGATACTTTCCATTTATCGTAATTATTTGTCATATGTACAGATATATGCAAGTGATCACACCCGAGAGGAAATGTACACGTAATTTTCCTCGTTAGATCTCGCACACTGTCCGTATTATAGTTTCACTTTTTTCGTTCAGCACGTTTAAACCATTCGGACACTCGATTACGAGAACTTATTCTAATTTAACATATACACATTCGTATACACATACATGTACACAGGAATTATACAAAGTTTTCGTTTAACTTTCGCCTGATGGATGCAGGGGTCCATTTGAATTGGGCAGTAGTCGCATTTTACATCTCTTTAGAACGATAATGGTAATAATTATTAGCGATATTCATAAAATTGATATTGACAACTCAAAATTCATAAAATTGAAATGACAACTCAAAAAACTAACTAATTCTCGAGTTATCACTATAAAAATGTTGCATAATTGGTCCTTCATCAATTATGAAAATTTTATCCATATCTTCATAATTTGGCGAGTAAAAAGGAATTATGTATCTTTTGGATTCATGTGACACTGTGTGCTGCATTTTACAAATACCTCTTCTTATGAATTTCGTCTCGACTATCATTGTGAACAAACGCATATTGACAAAGTAAGAAGTGTATTGCTTCGAACTGTGTTGTTTCTTTAATTAACAAAATAGTATCTAATTTCGTTCGAAACCAGATTTTCACTTGTACTGAATAATGTACTTTTCCAACTTGTGTCATTTTTGTCACGAAGGACTAATATATTTATATCATAGATACATTCTTTTTTTTTGTATGATTAAATGATATGAATAAAAATAAGATTTCACACAAACATTTATTAAAAAAAGGAGAGAGAAAAGGAAAATAGAATTTACAGATGGAAGAACAAAAATATGTCATTTTCAGTGACATAAATCGCAACATCTTTTCATGAATCTGAATGGATCCAGTATCCATCAGTTATTAGACGATTCGCTGCACGAAAGTTAACGAATACGTTTTTTTTTCTTTTTTTTTTTTTCTTTTGTTGTGCTTCTAGGCATATCAGTATGGAAATAATGTATCGTTGGTTTTACGCTAGCCTTCCGGTAGGTAATCTATCGTTGCGCAATAAATACATCATGTACCGTGTAGTGTGCATATACATAGCGTTCGCGCGTGATACTACACTAATTTAGTTCCACATCGATTAGGCCGAATATGCATTAACTAATTTAGATGACTAGTTCGTCGTAAATGATCAGGTAACGACGTACGTAAAACATTTTGTGTCGACGTAATAAAACGATATATAATTGTCGTCATAATAAGAATCGTTCGGAATTTTATCGGTAAGTAGCGCTGTCGGAGAAGTGGAACCATCTATCGAATAAAGCATACAATTAACGATGATCGTCACTTTGATAATTACAAGAAACGCTCTGCAAAACAGTCGAACAAAAGTGTACCGGTAAAGAGTTCTATCATTTCCGTTTGTAGAACTGATGGGAATGAAAGGATCTCATTTGGCTAACGATGCGTATGATTTCAGGGCTTTTCACCTGACGAATAAAGAACGAAAGAAAGGAGGGAAATCGATAATATTGGGGGAAAGAAAAAAAGACAGATAAAGGGGAGAGTCTGCGACGTCGAGAGGATAGTTTGCAACGTTGTGCACGATGCACGAGCACGAGATAAATAAAAATTGTTGAAAATTGTTTCTCATCTAGAGCAGTGTTAATTATATTTCTTGCTCGATAATTCGTTTGTCTGAACAGTCACGATACGACGAATTAATTTAACATATTGAAATTCTGCAATGAATGAAAGATAAAAGTATCTTACGCGTACAACATTAAATAATAAATGCAATACTATGCTGAATGCATCAATAAGATATTTTCGTGCGAGTATTAAAAACTTCGATACAATTATTTAAGTCGAATTATTAGTACTGGGAAATTAAGGTATGAAAGGTTGATTGTTCGCGTAATTTTTATAATTTCAATGCTGTCAATGTTTCAACGGCTGTCAAATTTGTTTTTTATGTTTTTTTAATCGAGTACGCCTAGTTATTTAATATTTATTAAGCAAATATGTACAAATATGTACAAAATAGGACGGAACGGTATGCTTTATCCGTTTTTTTAGAATATTGTTTATTCTTGTTGCTACTTGAACGTAACTGTGTGATTAATAAATGAAAAAACATGCTTGATTATCGTGTACAAAGAAATACTAAGAACACTGCTCTATAACCGTGATTAAAATTACACATTATTTTCGTGCGAGAATATATGATATTAATTCCTGATATTAAATCTTAAAAAGATAATAAGACAATAGATTAAAGATAATGCAGGTACAAAAATTCTATGTGGAAAATACAAGAACATTTATCTTTTTCTCTTCGTTCAATTCATTTATAGGTAGAATATAGAAATTGTAAAAAAAAAAGAGAGAAATGTACAATTCGTAGAGCAAACGTTCTAATTAAATAAGAAATTTAAATCTTCTTTTCGAAAGAAGAAAATAAAAATCGGAAGTTCAGAGATTATATTTATATCATCCCGAATAGTATATGGTTCATAGAAAATTTTATCCGTTGAAAGTACGTGGCTATTACGATTTCAATCTAACAAGATTTAAAATAATAAGACGTTGGAAATATAAAAATACTTATCTCTGTATAGTAACTGTCGTTTGGCCATCGGAGTCATATTTGCGAATTTCGAATTGCGTTTTATATTAGTGGAAAACGAATTCTGTGGTCGGAAAACATTTTCAATGATGTTTCTTGTAATCCTCGTTTCATTGACGTATTTAAGCTATCAAACGTATCTTCAAGCAATGATTTATCAGATTTTCGTTGTGTAAAATATTTCAGAATCATATCTGCGATAGGTACGCGAACTCTGTTTCCTTTTCATTGTGCATTGAAACACAAGAAAGTATACTGGTTCTTTAAACGTACAAATAAGTAAAGAGCTGCAGCATTCAAGCAAAGTACGAAAATTTGATTCACAATAGGGCCGTGATAATTGCACGTGTTGGACGGATTCGTTGATTTGTCACCGGATATCTCTACTTTTTCTTTCGATCGAGTTCGAGAATGTGGAAATTAGAAGCATTTCATTGATTTATTGTCATTTCGATGTGACAAATCATCGAACAAATCGCTCTAATTTCTAAAAATTAACCGTGAACATCTAGATTCTAGCAAATGGAACCCGTATCGCGTTCAATTAACGCGGCTCTACTGTGCACTACATTGCATAAATATTTTGCAAATCATATTCTCTTGTGACAGTTAAGTAGAACAATTAGTTAACATTTTAGACAATTAAAAATATATGAGTTGTCATTTGCTGAATTATTCAAAAGTCTTCGTTGCTTAATCGGGATAAATGTAGTTTCTTTATCGAACGAGAGGAACGAGAACGTCAACATTATTAAATATTAATCCCGAATGCTTTCTAACTGTGGCATATTTTTAATGAATTTTCATTAAGTATCAACGCAAATAAGTTTTATATAAAAGTTTCTCTCCTTGGTAGAACAATTAGTTTCATTATAGAGCATATAAAATATCTTGTATCTTTAATTCTGTTCATTTGTGAAAGTTGAGCACACGTTGTAAGTAAACAAGAATTACGAGAAATAATTGATCGCAAGCCACAGCTACGAAATAGCTGATGCAAAAATTACGTTTCGTAAATAAATTAGTCAAAAGAAAAAATTCTGATTCGCATTTTCAAAGCGAGCGACTCAAAGAAGAACAATTTATTATGCTTGGTTTAAGGTAAAGAGATTGAAGGATAATTAAACAGACGCAAGTTCGTCAAGTTCAAGAATCGACGAACTTTCGGGAATACGAAAAGTTATAGCCAAGTATCGCCGGATATCCGATGATAACGGTGTCCGAACGTATTACTAGAAAATTTCATTAATCGTCTCTACTATTGCGAACGTAATGGCAAAAATCTCGAGCGAGAACGAATTGTTTCGTTGACGTCAGTCGCAAAAACGACGGCAAAGGCAATGGTTGTCGATAAATTTGCGGCATCGAAGCACACCCATTAATTGATCCCTTTCGCGGATGAGATAAATGACGATGAACAGGACGAATCTTGATCCCCGAAGGATTTTCCACGAATAACCGTTCTTTTTCGTTGGCAGACACTGACGTGACTACGACAGGGCAGATAGTAGGATTATGCAGATGGCTGCTGTAGATTGTATCAGAAAATTCGAACTAGAACCCCTGGATGACATCGATTGCGCCGTGTTGTCGATTCTTTGTACCTCGCCGTCGATGCTTTTTCGTTCTTTTGTTGCCACAGTGTTTTCAGCATCGTTGTAGCTGCCGCTGCTCACCCTACCATGAAGCCGTAAATCTGAGAAAAGTGATTGATACATTATTAGAAGCCTTTGATGAAATTCTCTATCTATTGGAAGATCAGTTTTATTTCTTTGATTATTCATCGGAAGTTGTATCCTCACGTTTTGATATATTATTACATATTATTAGTGTTTGTATTCACCTAGATTTGGGCATTGTTTGACAAATTCACAAGGCGATCGGTAATAATATTTAATACTCCGTCTATTGATTTTAAATAGTTAAACAATTATTTGTCCCAGGATGTTTCAATGCGAATGAATATGTTAAGTTGTTAATTCATTCGCGCATAAGCAATAATTAGAACGTGTTTTAATATTTCACTTTTTCAATTATACTTTTTGCCGCAGGTTCATCTGCCTTGCTTATTTTCCAGTAGCTCTTCCTTGCGAGTTTAACTACGAACGTGTCGTGTATTTTAATAAAACAGGAACGCGCACTGTTAAATATTGAAAAGGAACATTGGCGTTTTAATAGAATACGTTTTTTTCTTTTCTTTTTTAAATTCAGTGCGTACAGATACTTACGAACTCCGAGTAATGAAATTACGAGTCGCAAATCATAAAATTTCAACGGATTGAAAATTTTTTCAGAAACTTTTCAGGAACAATATCAAAGATACACGACATTTTTTATATTTATTACGATTTCATGCTCTTTTTTACATTACATTTTGTACACGAAAAGGAAAGTGTATGCATTTTGTGTAGGAGAGTAATTTCTCATAAATTAACCTGCAAATAGAAAATAAAAAAGAGCCACGTGTATACGAACATTTTTACAAAATCTGATATTAATTCGATACAATTTTTAGTGTCCCGCTTGAAAAATGTGGTTTCAAGAAAAATACGTGATAGACGATTACTCACAATCACAGGATGATGGAACATTGTGCCAGGCTGTTCCGACATCTATAACTTTCTGGCGAATTTCCCAAAAGTTCTTTGATAGTGTTTGTCAAGAAGATTCAGAAAGAGTTTTCAATAAAATTTATCAATTAAAAAAGGCGAATTATAATATACAGAATTGGAGATAATCGCAGATCGTGATTTAATGATGGAACCGGCAGAATGGTCAAAATGACCAATTTATGATTGTTCAAAAGAATTTTGTATACTACAGAATCGAATGATTCTTTCTAAAGTACATAAGTAAATAAATTTATATTCTCTATTGTATTATAAACCTTTTCAATTTCATTAATACGAGTTTCACACTTGAGAATGTAGAATTGATTGTAAGCTAATCAAAACGACCAATTGGCAATTTTGAAGATTCGAATAATGATTTCTGTTCTCGTCTTATAAATCTTTTCGTACTTCAGTTTCATTCTTTAGCTTCGCCGTTGGGAATCGTTCAAAAGAGAAAAAGGGAAGAGCACGACGGGGAGAATTGGTTACAAATTTTTGCCATCGTCGCGAACCTTCAAGTTCATCGTGGACGATAGATTACAATCGAAGAGATCGCGGAACGGCAGACCGAGAGCCCGCGAAGTTTCACAAACGAAAGATCAGATTACTTTCCATAGTTGAGGCGACGCGGTAGTTCATAAACCGCGTGGGATTTCATCAAAATCCCGTTGAGAGCGCGGGCGTTTGTCGCCTCGGAGAAGATCTACGGCGTCGTGCCACGTTACTGAAAGTTTCGCGGGTAAATTTCACGCCTTCCCTCGAACTCTTCCCCTTCAAAAAGTTTCTCGACCCCGGCTGTGTACGTAAGTTTTCGCGCATTACGCCGCGCTGATGATTTAAAAGGAAATTCCCGGCGAATTTTCAAGCGGCATAACGCGTATTCACGCCGGGATATTACGCCTACACCGTCTCGACTTTTCATTTACCGCGTGATGATCAGATTCTACGATCAACGAACGCTGCTCGCTCGAACGAACAAATTCGGATCAATTCTTCGTTGGCTTTGTTGATTCTTCGTGGTTCTCCATAAATCTGTACTTTTTTTTATATTAAATTTTGCGTTTTTTTTTTTTTTTGAAATTTTTTGTGTTATATTTGTGTTGAATTGTGTTATATCTATCTTTTATATTGATGTTATATTAATCTTCTAAATAGTATCGTTGGGTTATAGACGATTATGGTAGTTTACATCAGATTAGAAAAATTTAGGTTTCATTTGACAATCTGAGATTTGACTGAGATTAAATGAAAAATTCCAAAGTTGACTGTCACACGAAAAACGAAATATCGAATTTTCCCCAAATATTATGTTACGGTAAAAATAAATACACTTGTACGCCAATCTCCAATAAAATCGTACAGCAAGTTTTAACGGATCATTGTAAGAGGAGATTTCAATTTTAAATATCACGATAGATCTAATCACAAAGAACATTTTTTAATGTTTTTAGAGACTTTTGAATTTTTATAATTTAAGTTATTTTCTCAATGTAAAATCATTTTTAAAAAATCGTTATATGATTTTCTTTACGAAGTTTAAATTACCAACAATTTCTCGTCATTATTTATTCAATTATAGTTGTATATTAAATTATAAAGTTATAATTGAGATGTATAATCATTTTAATATGAATCAACACTGAAAAAACTCTTGTTTTATAATCATTTTTATATTAATCTTAAGTTACTTAAACTGATTTTCAAATTTCTTAACGAATAAATCGTGGCGATACGTAATTCTTCGTTTAATAATCGCGGCGAATTAAATTAATTATTCCTTGATAAAATTGAAGAATTAAATCTAATTAATGAGATCAAACAGATCCTTCATCCACCCTGCTTGAGGGTCAAAGCTATTCCCGTGGAAGAACGAAGGATCGCGAGCGAAACAGACGCCAGATCGTACGGTTTTATAATCACTCTTTATTTCGCATTGTTCTTTTTTCGATAGAAATTCGACAGAGTAGGAAATTTCTAGCGTAGTAAAACTCGTTCGTGCGCTTCTATGTTAATCTCAGGGATAAATTTTTCACGTCTACGATTAAAAGAAAGACAAACGGCGGTGTAAAATTGGGTAAGGGATGGTAGACGTTGCTGAATTTCACCGTACTATTACTATACGTACTATGGGTGGCAAGTTTAATTCGATTTTTATTTAGAGAGTTCCGCGGCATGTAAGCGCCGGCGTTTGAATATTCAAACTTGTTTCGACGATGCCGCAACTATTGTTAGAATGCACAGTTGTAACGATTGAACGAGAACTAGAATTGTTGTAAAATAATATCTAAAAACTTGTTTAATGATCGATCAGAATATTCAGTTGTTACACGAGGGGAACAGAAATCTCTATGATGTTATTTGGTGAAATCATCGCCATACAATTAACGATGGCTGTCATTTTGAAATGCACAATTTATAATCTTCTTCTAATTATGATACATTAGTGAAATTGTCACAAAATTTCGTAAAAAAATGTCCCCATGTTTACTTTTCCAATTCATGTCAAATTTATTAGATAATAAAAAAAACTATGGAAGATCTTGCTTATTTACTTATTGCGCCGTGTAGCAATATTTTGTGTTTAACAAATTATGTAATAATATATGTGATTTTTCATATTTTAAATGTAAATTGGAGAGCATTTGATTCATATCATAAAATATCGTTATCGTTAAAAGAAATGAAATAACTTATATCACGACACAGATGCTTTTAATCTTTCAGGTTTTTATGGTATTTTGTAAAAACGAAAATTTGGCACGGAATGTTCCAAATTACTTACCATCGGTCCTACCGATATTGGGCAGCGACGAATCGGTTATTTCATGCAGACTAGGTTCCACGCTTGGCTCTGGCCTCTGCCGCGAATTCTGAATATTTTCAACTAGAAATTAAACGTGATTAAATTTCTGGCATCTTCGTTTTCACTTTGACGGAAATCGCATAATTAAAATTCGTCATCATTTTCTGTTGTACAGTGTAGGTAACTATGTCATAATCAGAAAGCAATGAAGGCAATTGCGCGAAATTTCGATGATTCTAATTATTAAAAAATAATTACCGCGTTATTTCGCGATACTACAATTACAAATTTCGACTGGTATATTCACCTTCTTCGCTAGTGGGAGCTGGAGTAGTGGTCGTAGTTCTCGGCTGTGTCGTTGGTGTTGGAATATCTGCGGAAAGAATAATTTTAAATAAAATTCAAGTGTAAATTTACGTGTAAATTTATTATTAGGACGCGGATTTTATGCAATAATATAAAATTGGGAGCTGCAAATATCTAAACACAATGCATACAGTATACAAAGGTATCTGCATAAAATATTCAAAGTAGAATAAGTTATTATTCTACTTTAGTAAATGCACGAAATCAATAAAATGCATTCTACAGAGTTGATTATATTATGATTATGTTTGCAACTGATCACTGAAGGTAATCATAATCGTTAATCAATTAATCATTCCTGACACGAATCAGTAATCTGTGATTACATTTGATATTCCATAATCATTAATCTATAATATCATTCATAACTGTAATTTGTAATTCAATATCATTATCTGTTAATTATAAACAAAGACGTCATCATTTCGTGATCAATGATCATCATGTTAATCATGCTCAATAATTACATTTTCTTTGATAATTTCAGTTATTCACTAATCATCATTGCTGGATTATTCAATAATTATGATTAATCGTTAATCATGGACATCATTGATCAAATTAATTTTTGCTCAATTATCTATACGCAAAAAGGCATTAAGAAAGTTATCATCCCTTAAACTGAATAATTGGTTTCTGTTATCTTTTACAATCTATTGGGAGAAGGATTTATATTAATTAGCGTGTATTAATGCGCATCAAATTGGCCAGCCAACCGAGAAAACCTACAATTGCAGTTTAACAGATGGCCGTGGATTCTTTTCGTCAGAAAACAGAACGACAGTGGCTGTTACCGGTGATGTACTGCTCGCGCCAGTTTTCAGGAAATACGATTTTCAGGGCAGAAAGATTCACTTTATCGAAACGATAAATTGTACCCTGATATCTATTCGAAAATTCCTCTTTGACGTATCAAATTGTATAGAATATATTCGTAGGACGTGGTTTGTGAAATTTATATTAGGTATAAATATATTTTAGTACGGAATAGTGATGTAGCTGTGACATTTAAACCAGAGATAAAGATACACATTCGAGAGTTTGATAAATTGCTCTTGACAGAAAGATGCACACTGACGAGAGAAATTTCATCGTGACTTTTTCTACGAAAAAATAATTGAGGGATCTTTTTTTCTTTTTTTCTTTTTGGACGGAATAATGGATATTTAAATAATCGTAATAATACTTTCAACAGCAAGCAATACATTTATATTCAAGTCAGGATTGGGAAAATTTCATTTGAAATAAAAATGAGAATAAAAATTTTAAATAACAAGTCATTCCTATTAAATTACTATTTTCACTTAAAAAAATAATTTTATTTTGAATCCAAATAAAATTTGCAGATATTTTTCATTTGAGAAACTATTTGAAAAATTATTTAAAGGTACAGATGAAATTATTTTATTTCACAGCTAAATAATCAAATAATCTGGAGGGAAATCATCCAAAATAACATCGAGTCAAATAAGATGATATGCTATTTAAATAATCGTTTCACAAATAGTTTAGTCGAGTAATGCCCATCAAATGCCTGATTTAAATATACGTCTAACATTTATATTCGACGCGTTTCATTTTAGGTAAATCTAGTACATCGTATTTTGTATGCACATTTTTTAATGACAAAAGGCAGGTGTGAACACCGGAGGATTCGCGATGAATTTATGAAATTGTGTTTTAAGATATTCCTCGTTTAACCCGTATTCTACACGATGTGCGTTTTGCTGAAACTGCGGCGTCGTTGCTGGCACCAGGTGGTCTCGCGTCAACTCATTTATTAAAACCACACCGTGAATAGTGTTCAATTCGTATTTCTTTTGCCAAAAAAAATCCAGGCGATTTCTGTAATTATCTTACACGGTCACGCTGGTTTCGCCATTGTTTCCTTGTCCATCCACACGCTCGTACGCGTTGTCAGCGTTTCATAAAATTCGTAAAAAGATTTGCGAACATAATCACGCAACTTAAGCAATATTACTGAAGCTGACACGAACGTAACGTAGATTTATATTATCAAATTTGGTCTTTTTCTTTCAACATTGTTTTGACATAAAAGTAAAATTTGAATGAATTTCAATTTTGTGAATATTCCCTGAATATTTAAATTTTGTAATTTCATAAAATCTGGCTGTTTCGAGGAATAATGTATTTGTTTCTTCTTCGAATTATTTATAAATTACTTGGTACGATATTTGGTCAGAAAACTAGTAAAAGGTATAAATTGTTTTTTTTTTTTTTTGCGTCAAAATTTAAATAGTACGTATTATGAAAAATATACTTACGATAGAGCTTAATGCTGCCATCTGTTTCCCCCAGAGAATTCTTTGATATGCATTTATATGTCCCATAGTCGGACATTTCCACCGATAATATCGTGAGTCTCATATGTACTCTGTATTCATTATACGAAAGCGTTTGGTTGTATTTTTCTCCTGAAAACGAAACATTAAACGAAATTTATAAGTGGTTCTTTTACCGGCGAGCTGTGCAATCCACGCACGTCTTTAGGATTTATTCGCAATTAACTTTCAAATAGTGTACAAACAACAATGTTATTACTAATATAATTCAACTAATAGTAATATTATTTTAAATGAATAATATATAAGTAGTAAGTGTTCAAAAATATCACGATTCGTTGAACCGAAGTACAAGACGATAATGCGTATCAAATTATCATATATAACGTGGGAAGTTAAATACATTTGTTTTACTTCCATACGTATTACGGATTTTATATTTAACCATGACGTTGCATCGTCTGTTATTCAAGTTATAACATTATTTTAATAATGAGAACTCCATAAGCACGGATTCCTGTTACACGCGAAACATTCTGATTTCGCATATAATGTTGTACTCGCGATGGTTGAATATTTATGCTTCTGCTCAAAAGCTGCAATAAACTTCAACTCCAACCATTGATGTTTACTGCCAATCATATTTCAAAGCTAAACATTACTATCGGCCCTTTAGCCTGGTTCAGGTGCAATTAAAACACTAGAAATTATTTTAATCGTATTAAATTTCATAATTGTAAAAAATTTTATTATCAAACCCCTGATCTAATTGATATTGTTGTCAATGCAGTTTAAATCTATGAAAACTGTCAAAGAGCAGTAAATCGTCAAAATTAGGATTGATCGAGGAAACAATTGAAAATATTTGTACGAAGACAGACTTTAAAAAAGGAAAATCATCTGAGACTTCATGAGTGAAAAACGTAAAAAACCGTCTGATCAACATGAATGTCCAAGAAGTATGAATACTTCTGATCACCCTTTGAACTCTGACATTCTGTTTTCAATTCTTGAATATTTATCGAGTCGTAATAGTATATTATTAAATTTATATGGACACAGGTTTTTGAGTCACAAATATTTTCCTCTATTTCAATAATGTGCACGATCTGTTCCATTGTTCTTTAGCTCTCCCTTGCGTCTTACTAAAAAATAAACTATTGTTATAGCCGAGCCTGTTAGCAACAGCATTCGATTTCGCTCTGACGATTTGTGTCAGTGCAACGACGGTAATAATAATAACAGTATTCTAGTTGGTAGGTTTTTCGCTCGTTCGAGGTAGTATAATATGATTTATATCCCCGACGTTATACAATATCAGAAAATTAGAGGAAATGAAGCGAAAGAGGTAAAAAGTCTCCTCGGCCGAGATTGAAAATATTATTTTAACTTTTGCGCTGCAAACACGACGGGCGTATCAAGTATTTGCACTAGCGGCTAATTTTAATAGAAATGTTGTTGAATTTCATTCTTCATGCACCGTGGTCTTCGATAAATATTTTTAGAGATTGATCTAGCAAGAAAGTAGAGCAGCACAGCTTTCCAGCTAGTATAATTATATATAATAATAGTGCAACGCAATAAAGTGGTTCATTTCTCGGAAGCAATCAACAAATATTTGCAAGGTACGCCCGGAATATATTCAAATATGCAAAGACACATCAGGATTCGTACGTTTACCCTGTACTCTTAAAAATATCAATTTGCGTAATTTCCAATCAGAAGATACGCGGACAATTAGAATTGAAAATATCTTACATTATTTATTCGCACGAGCATTAGTATTACATTGGATAACTCTTTACAATACAGCGGACGACGCTACGAAAATTAATTAATGAAACTTGAAACAACGTGAGAATATTTTATCATATATTTACAAATGTCAAATCGATTTTGATTCATTTTAAATTCTATGCTCTACTTTGTGCTTGATCGAGCATAAAAGCAGACATTAAGGTTTTCCCGCATGAACGAATGTCTGTACATCATGAAAATGAACCTTCATTGAATTGGTAAATTGTCCCGACTCTTTATTCTTTTCACACACGTATTTAAATTCATTTAACGGAGAAGAATCGCGGGGCTATCCTGCGCGTATAAATTCAGCAAAAAATAAAATTGAACAACAACTACACGGCAGTTTAGAAACGAAATGAAACTACGGTAACGTAATACAGATGATCCGATGTAACACTGGGGTTTATAACGGTGGCAATGGCTCGTGAAAACACTGAGAATGTAGAAAAGAAAGGAACAAGATATTTCTCGTCGAAGATCTCGAAACATCCGACAAGAATATGACTTTATTTCGTGGACTATTTTTAATCACGATTCAATGCGCCGTTCAATTATTGCGATTTTCGTTGCAGCCGTTGCATATTCATGCATCCGGTATGAGCTCACAATGAGAAAACTTTCGCCCCGCCAGAAATGAGATAAAAATGATTTCCAGTATGAAAAAAAAAGGCTGTTCACGCAATGCACTCATTACTTCTACGATGTTGAGACACAACTAGAATATTTTATACAATGTCACGCGGATTAATTAATGAGACGGCGAGCCTGTAATCAAAATATTAAAATACAAAATATAATTAATTTGCCGATCCAAGACAGAAAGTAATGAAAGATAATGAGAAACAAAGATAATCGAGGATGGAGATAATTTATCTTACACGAAAAATGTTTCAAGAAACAAAATATATATATATACTTTCGTTGAATCGATGTTCATTAATTCTGCGACATTTTGAAACAGTAGGAAACGAGAATCACTACGGCATAGTAAAACAAAGGACGAGGGGACGAGGAATGCTCGGGAAGCAGCTTCGTGATTAACAATTTGAGGTGGCGTAGGAATCGGGAGAGAGTGAAATCGATAGGTGTAATGATCCGCGGTGAAGCGGAGAGGTATTTTCTCAGCTCCGGTGGAAACTTCCTGGGAGATACAGGATGAGACGAAAGAAAAAGGGAGGAAGAAAGCGACGCGGGGAAGATAGAATGCATTTATGTAGTGGCTCTATCGACCGTTGCAAACGGAAGAAAAACTTTCGCCGGCTTTGAGTTTCGAAAGCAGATGAAAAAGTTTAACGACGTTGAACTGCGTTGCCGGGCATTACCACACCGGTAGACGTCCGATGAATTTTTGGATATAAAATTGCTTCTGTTCTGAGGGAAGTTACTGTTGCCAACGTTTCCGTACTAATTATTACATTTTAAGGATCTGATATTTGCTATAATTTCAAATTGCAAAGTTCAACAGATTTAAACAAACCTACTACAGAGATTGAGAATTACATCACATAGTCATCAAACATTGTGTAAATTATTAAACGGTGTGAATCGTATGAATTGTAAGGTCCTTGGACAAACCTGGAGAATTACATCAAATACTTCGCGACCTAGCCGATTTTATTTTAGTACATCCAATGTCCAATCTGACAAAAATTTTGTTGCAGTAGATCGTATTTTCATGATGCAACACAATTATTGCACTGTGAAAATAAATACGAATCATTTGAATAACACGAGCTCGAAGGTAATCAGAAACTGGAAAGAATCGACGATCCGACTAAAAATCTCAACGCATCCAGGTTCAACACGTACGAACAATATTAACTCACAGAGAGATTTACAATATTTCTCTGCGACAGAGAAGCCACCATCGAGAAACGAGAGAAGCTTGGAAGCATGGTTGAGCATGGTATGCGCGTTTAAATTCAATGTCGGAAGGACGCGAGACAATCGGGCACGACGGAAGAAAGCGAAGGAATTTGAAGGTACTTTCACGAAAGAGGTTCGTTAGTTGAAACTTTCGCTCAGGAATTAATAACACAGCAGCAGACATCGTTCTCCCTCGGTAAACCGCACGTTACGAACGAAAAGAGCGGCGCAAAGAGCAGAAGTCATGACAATCACGAGTCATTAAAGTTGTACGAACGGTTCAGCGAAGCCAGGCCCGGAGAACGTCTGGTTTTAGATGGTCGAGGAGGGTGCGAGTCATCGTGATGCGGAGAGGACGGACGAGTTAGGATAGCGCAGCGCCAGCAAGAGAGGGGTGAAAGGACAGTAATGGCATTGGTAAGTAGCCTGGGGCACGCTACTCTCATACAGAGTTGCTCTCCGGCACCGAGCGTGCTTTAGTTTCGTTCGCGCGATATTCCTCGCTATCCAATAACAATCTAAGATTGCACTATTGCGCGGGGAAAACATCCAGTTAATGGCCGGTGGTAAAATTCAGGCATCAAAATCATATTTTACCAAATCGCGTATGTAGCTTCGTGTTTATTATCTTCGTCTGCTTCGTTCCATGCTTTGTGTTCGTATACATTTTTCGTTGCCTGTTAAATATAAAACTTGTGCATGCTCGTGGATTCGTACGAACGTGATCAGCAAACGTGTATTTTTCTTTCGTACGTTGTACAGCGTCTCTTTCTTATTGTTGATCTATTTTTCTATACTTTGTTTGTATTTCGTTTATTTTGATGACAGCGAGTTTGCAAAACGTCGGATTTGTGAACGTGAGTTGCAACTGATAATTGGCAGTGTTAAAGGGAGAAAAACATTTTTTTTTCTTCATTTTGCATATAGTCTCATGTTTATTGTCCTTTTAATCAATTTTTCAACGTTTATTTTACCGTTATCTGTTAAATATAAAATTTATACGCTCGAGGTTTGTGAATATGAATGTAATTAGCAATGTTAAATATTTTTCTTTTTGTATATAGTGCCTATCGTCTCTTTAGTCTATTTTTCTATGCTTTATGTCCTTCTATCTTCTATTTCTGATTAAATATAAAATTTATATACTCGTGAATTCGTAAGACGCCGGGTTTACGAATACGAAAGTGACATTAACACTGGATAGTTTCAAATGTTTTCGTTTCGTAAACAAGTGATTTTATCTTTCTGGTTCATGAAACTATTTAAAGCAATCGGATACATAAGTCATGTTAGATGAGATATATCTGTCTATCTTGGATGTAGAGGGGTTAAAAATGAAATTTTTCTGTACATAGTGCTTCCTTGGAATCTGATAAGCGATAAATTTCCCGCAAATAATGAATAATATACAGCGCGCGTTACTTCCGAAATTTATAGGACATTGGAATCCGTGGGATCATACATAT